TGGCCGCGCCACCCGCTGCCGAGAAACGCGCGGGAACTCTACTTAGGAGTTATATTTTGATGGTTTTGCGTGTTGTTAAATGAAAAAAGGATCATGTGATGTTATTGGCTGATCCTTTATGTAATCCAACTGAAATATGAAAATACTTGGTCAAACCACCTTGTGTTTGAACACAAGTAATGGCTACTTCATACATATCTTTAATGACTTGAATATAAGCATTATTAACCCCTATTTTAGAACTCTCCATTGCACTTCTCTTGGAATTTTATCATATGCTTTCTCTAAATCAATAAATATCATATGTAGATCCTCCTTATTCTCTCTATACTTATCCATCAAACCTATCAATAAATGTATAGCTTGCATAGTAGACCTACCTAGCATGAATCCAAATTGATTTTGAGAAACATTAGCATCAAGCCGCAACCTATGCTCCAGAACTCTCTCCCATAGTTTTAAAGTATGACATATTAACTTAATTCTTTTATAATTCGCACAATCTTGTATTAATATAAACATTATTAACTCCTTTCTTTTCTTAAACTTAATCTACCCCGAGAATGAAATTTTTTGAGTTCTATTATATTGAGAGGCTCAAGAGGTGTTCATTTTTTTGGTGATCAACATGTGCATGTCATCTTTGGATAATCTAATTGCAATTGGGAAATATTTAAGTGGTTTAATTTAAAGAGAATCTTATCAAAATTACGTGACACCTTTTTGAGTTCAAGGTTTCTAGGCTAGTAAGTTTTTAGCATAATATTTATCTTGTCTTTACCTATGTTAAGCACCACCATCATGGACATTCAATTAAATTTGATCAACTAGATGGTTAACCTGATTTGTCCAAGCACTCTTTGAATGAATAGATTATATATTTCGTCCATTGTGCTTAGATCTACTCAAACGAAGGCCTTTAGACCTTATGATTAATCTCCATAATTCAAGTTTATCTTCAACTCACTCTCTAGTTTTATCAACACAAAGAATATCATCAGCAAAAAGCATACACCAGGGCACAACCTCTTGCAAATGTCTAGCGAGAACTTCCATGACTAAAGCAAATAGATAAGGGCTTAAGGCTGATCCATGATGTAATCCAACTGAAATAGGAAAATACTTGGTCATACCACCAACACAAGTAACATCTCCTGCATACATATCCTTAATGATTTGAATATAAATATTATTAACCCCTTTTTCTTTCTAGAACTCTCCATAACGCTTCTCTTAGAACTTTATCATATGCTTTCTCTAAATCAATAAATATCACATGTAGATCCTTCTTATTCTCTCTATACTTCTCCATCAAACCTCTCAATAAATATATTAGCTTCCATAGTAGACCTGCCCGACATAAATTCAAATTGTTTTCGAGAAACATTAATATCACGTCGTAACCTATGCTCTATAACTCTCTCCCATAGTTTTAAAGTATGACACATTAATTTAATTCCTCTATAATTCATACAATCTTGTACATCGTCTTTATTCTTAAAAATAAGAATCAACACACTCATTCTCTACTCATCTGACATTTTTTTAGACTTCAAAATAATATTAAAAAGTTTAGTAAGCCATGAAATCCTTTTATCTCCTAAGCATTTCCATACGTCTATTGGAATATCATCAGATCCAACAGCTTTTTTACACTTTATTTTCTTTAAAGCCTCTCTAACATTGATATTACTAACACGTCGATAAAACAATTTTTTTTTATTTAGGGTGCTAAAGTTACTAAAGTCAATCATATTCTCACAATCTTTATTAAATTGCTTAGCAAAATTTCATTTTTCTTTGTTTAATATTCTCTTCTAATAAAAACACTTTTTGATCTTCATCCTTAATGCATTTCGCTTGAACTAAATCTTTGCTACTTCTATCTCTTTGTTTGCATAACTTATACGTATATCTTTCGCCATCCTTAATATCTAATATATTATATAATTCATTAAAAACTAAAGTGTTTGCATTACATGTTCTTTCTTAGACTCCTTATGGCTTTCTTTATATTTTTCTCAATTATCAGAGTTTTTATAATTAAATCAATTTTTATAACAAAGCTTCTTATTTTTTATTTTTTCTTGCACATTTTATTCCACCATCAATTATTTTTACTATCAGGAGCTGTTCCATTTGATACTCCAAGCATATCCTTAGCAACATGCTTAATATCACTTGCTACTTTTTCTCACATGACATTAGCTTCCTCATACACAAATAAAATTTTAAGATTTAGAATCTTATTTAAAAATATTTTTGTTAATATTCTTTAAATGCTCCATTTAATCCTAGAATAATGTTTTACTTTATTTTTTATTTTCTGCATCTTTATCTTAAGCTATAAAACTAATAAGCAATGTTGAGTACGTTAACTTTCATTCAGAATAGCTTTACAATATTTGCAAATTGCAATCTAAACGATCTATTTTTCTTTTAAGAAAATAATTAATTTTAGTATTACTCTATCCATTCTTATATGTGATGAGATGCTCATTTATTTTCTTAAATAAGGTATTAACAATTATAAAATTATAAGCTAAACCAAAATCTAATATGTTCTTACGATTTTTATTAGTCGCTCCAAACCTATAACTACCATGAATGTTTTTAAAATCAACTGCATCTCTGCCAACATGTCCATTTAAATCACCCCAATAAAACTTTCTTTAAAACGTATCTTCTGTATTAATTTATCTATGTTATTTCAAAATTTAATTTTTAAATACATATTCAAACCTATTTGAGGAGCATAAATACTTGTAATATTAATAATATGAACATCAACAAAAATCTTTAAATCTATAATTCTATTCTCAATTTTATTAATTTTACAATATTATCTTTTAAACTCTTATCTATAATCACACCTACACCATTTCTAGTACTATTCATACTAGAATACTATAGTTTAAATCATAAATTATCAATCTTCTTAGCCTTCTCTCTAACCCATTTATTTTATTGTTGGTTACTAGTTAACCCAATATCTTCCTATAACCTGTGGTTAATTTCACACATTGTATGTAAGGAATGTATGTGGGCAAATTTTGTACATGATTATATGGACAAGTTTGTAGGCACTATTGTAGCATCATTCGACCTTTTAACTATTGGTGTTTGCCCTTCTTTTGTTCTCTTCTTTCTTACTCTCTAATGCTTACAGTTACACGGATCAAGGTACCCATTTTTGTGGAGTTAACAGTCATGTTTTCCCTTTCTTTTAGAGATATTAAGCACACATAATTTGCTGTAATTTTGAACTTTTCGTGTTTGGTTCTCTGCTTAGCTGATGACAATATTTTTATTTGTAGAATCCAAGTAATTATTTCAGTACCTGGAAATATGAATTCAGGACAACAACAGCGAAATCTTTTCCCTATGTATGTGATACTAGTTAGACCTATTGCTAATATTTCGATTGGAGAGGTACGATTTGATGATATGCAATGCAATATGCTAAGCCTTTGTCTAGTTTTCTGCTTTTAATCAATTTCCTTTTTTGCGGTGGAAAGCAGCAGGCTGCGGTTTATGGAGTTTGTCGGTCTCATATATTGTCTTCTTTCTATGAATATGGAAGGAAAGACACTGAAGTTACTTTTGTCATTCCTGAGATTCGAAAGCTGTCCACTGCCCGTGGCGCCAATCTAAATATGGTTATTGTCAGCATTGGTAAAGAATAAATGAAGCTCATTGATATTAAACTAACATATATTAAGTTCATTGTCCTTTACGTCTCATTAAAATTTTCATGTGACTGATGTTTTCTAATTGCCATTTAACTTGCAACAAAATTGTTTTAGGGGAAGCTCAAGGTACTTCTGATGAGAACCATCTGCCAGAGGGTGGTGAGTACCTTAATACTTTTCCAGGTAATATAATCTTTACTGATGATTGAAAAATAAATCCAGTTGGAACCATAACATATATGCTTGGTAGACCTTTATGAAAAATAAATCCAGTTGAGAATGGTCAGTAAAGGTCTACCAAGCATATAATGTTATATAAGGCATTTGTAGATGAACAGGAAAAAATATTCTTTGAAGATGTTATATAAGGTTATTACTAGATGAATTTTTATATGATAACTTCTAAATCCTTTAATGATGAAATGGATTTTCATTACTATAAACAATTTGATGTTTCCTAGAATAATATTAATTACATAATCTTAATTAATTTGGAGGTTTAGATGCAAGTTTGCTGAGAGCCTCATGAAATTTAATTATAAACTTGGAGATCTTCCAGAAGATACAACCATGGAACAGATCTTCTATTAAAGACTTGTGGAAGACTCACCTATTTATCACATACTAAATTTGATATTGCTTATGCTGTTGGTATGGTAAGTCAATTTATGGACAATCATAAAAAATCCCACATTATGGTTATGCATCAAATTTTATATTATCTAAAAGGAACTTCAAGTAAAGGAATTATATTTAAAAAAATGGATGATCTGATGGTTGAAGCTTATACAAATAGCGATTATGTAGGATCTATAGTTGATAGGGTTAACTTCAGGATATTGCACATTCTTAGAATGAAACCTAATGACTTGGAGAAGTAAAAACAAAATGTGATGGCAAGATCTAGCCCAAAAATTGAATTTATATCTGACATTACGAATTTGTAAACTGGAATGATTCAAAATTATTCTTGAAGATTTAAAAGTTGAATGGAAATGTCCAATGAGACTCTGCTTTGACAATTGGTCAACCATCACTATTGAATATAATCTCCTGCAATCATAAATAATATTGATGTGGATAGACATTTTATAAAGTAGATTGATAATGGTCTAATCTATGCATTTTCTTGTCACCACTGATGGATAACTTGCAAACATTCTCACTAAAAATTGTTAGTAATAAAATTTTAAAAAATTGCATTCAAGCTTGGAATCAATAACATCCATTAATCCGCTTAAGGGAGATTGTAAAATTCAATCTCCATCAATGTTCCATCGAGCTGAGTAGTCTTCCTTCTTTCTTATTTACTTTTTTTTTGCTTACATATTATTGTAATTTACGTTCTTTCTTATTTACTTTATGATGCAAGCAAAAAATATAGGGAGCCTATATTTTTCGCTTGACAAAAACAGAGGCGGACTTCTACGGACGAAATTGACTAAAGACGAGAAAATGGACGAACAAACTCTTA